CGAGCAGGTTTGTCAGACGAGCACTGTGTCACACCCGCGGGAACAGTGGGTCCCTCTCGCTTTCTCTTTTGGCCTCACCCTTTTCAGGTTCAGGGGCTCAAGATGAGAGAAGTGGCCTCATCTGAGAACAGCAACCAAGTCTGATGTAAAGTCATCTTCCCCCCACCCAGGTGAGGCTGCTTGCTAAGCCCCCAGGCCCAGGTGCGGTCCCTCAAGGCCACGCTTTTCCAGAGCGGCTGTGGAGAGGTAAAGGGTGCCGCCATGACAGTCGCAGCTGGACAGCCCGTGGTGACCAGGGTGGGCCTGTGATTACTGCTTGTTCGGAAGTCAGGAACCTGGATGCAACCTTGATTGTCCCGGATGGTGTGAAGCATAATTTTGCTCATAGGTTCAAGGTTATCCTTTGTGGCCCAATAAGATTGCCTCTACTCGAGTCCGTGTACTCATTAAAAAATAATAACAGAGCTTTCTAGCCCAGGTGGCCCTGGGAACGTAAAGATTCTTGAAAGGAAAGGTCCCTGTCACCACATTTGTCTGTGTGGACGGATGAGTGGCTGTCTCTTACTGACCATCACTGTCCCCTGCAATCCCTTTGTCCTCACTAGATTTCAGCTCGGCCAGAGGGAGAGTGGATAATGCTATGTAGACAATAAATGTGTCTGTATACAGTCCATGAGGTTCCATTTAAAACAGGCCCACTGCCTTCAGGGGAGCCCGTGTCTAATGCTCCCTTTGCCTTTGTGTAGAAACCGGGCTATCAGAGGAGATTTCAACTGGACCTATATGGCCAAGGAGTGGTATAGGAATAGCTGTGATTCGGTTCCTGGGGAGGAAGCTGTCCCCTTTCCCCTGAATTCCTGTCCACCGTCACGGCTCGTCAGGTAGACGTTGGCTCTGGTTAAGGGTTGGGGGCTTATGAGCGCTGGCCAAACTGCTGATGAGCTGATGAGGAAATAGAAGGAAAGAGCTGAGAACAGAGGCTGGGGGAGGGCAGTTTATTCCCAAATATTAATCTGAAGTTTAAAGAAAAGAAGAAGGCAACGGTGCCCCCAGTGAGGATGGAATAATTACACATCTCCCTGCCTGGAATTCAGAGCGGATTTGGGGCTGCGTGACATCCATCACCAGGGAGATTATGCGGGTGCTGACTCAGTGAGAACCGCCCACAAACTCCCTACATCATCTTTTGGCTCCTTCACTTAAGAAAGTGATGACTTTGCAGGAACTGCAGACATGGCAAGTGGAGGGTCTGGGCTCTACCTGGAAGGCCCACTGCTTTACACCTCGGTCTACGGCCCCACTGCTTGGACCTCGGGATCACAAGCCTTTCCCAGAGGCTTCAGCACAAATCCGTGAATCACCGGACCTGGCTTGCAGTCCTGGGAGGATACACGTTGTTATCCTGAAGTCAGTGGTGTGGTTAAGGGTAGGACAACTATATGTCCTAGGTTTTAAATACTCCACGCTATGGTACCTGAAAGTCATTACACTGATCTGAACACTCCAAGCTTCATCACCCAGACTGCCTTGACTCTGGCGGAGGCACAGCGAGGCATGTGTCTCAGGTCATCTTGGATACGACAGTCTGGACTCCAGAGGAGAGAAGCTCTTACTGCATCTCAGGCTGCAGCCTCTGTGGGCACCATCAGCTGGCCAGAAGCAGAGCTGAGACAGGCAGGTGTCAGGACTGGATGAAGGAGTGCATAAGGTAGCTGGTTATAGATTGGTCTCTCTGGTTCATCTGTGAGTGCCCTGAAGTCAGGATCTTCGTGTCCACAGCTGCGTTGGCTGATGGTGCGTGTTCACACTGAGTGAGATGGGGTCAGGGCAAGGGCAGGAGTTTTGGAGCTGGGGAGATGGGCTTCAGATGCCAGCTACCCTCTGTCAGTTGTCCTTTCGGGACTGCTTCTGCGTCGTAAAAAACATCCACAACCGCATGTGGGGTTGTTAGGATGACTAATAAGTTACTGCCTGAGGGAGGACCAAAGCCCAGCCCAGGAATAAATGAAAGAGTCCTTTCCTCCCCTGCAGAACTGAGATACTCTGATGTTTTAAAGAAGCACAGACACAGGAAAACGAAGAGGAAGGATGGTTTTAGAGGCAGAAGAGAGGAGGCAGCCTGCAGAGGGCTGTTAGGGGATATGCTGATGGGGTGGAAGACGTACTGCATCTGAGGGCATCCAGCGCACCTCGACAGAGCGTCAGGCAGCCACGGAGGTCAGTGCTGGGGCCCGGAGCAGAGCTGGGCTGGTGGGATAGGGGTGAGTCCTCAGCGTCAAGCGAATGTTGGGGTCAGCTGAGGAAGCAGTGTCAGCAAGGCACTCAGAGATAGCGCCTTGGGGTGGAGAATGCCAGAAGCCCAAAAGGAAGGTGGAGAGGAGAATGGTACTTTCTGAGGTGGGGTCTGTGCATGATGGTGGCAGAGTGGGGGGGGGGGCAATAGATTCAGAGAGAAGCAGAATGCTGGGTGAAGAAAGCACAGGGAGAGGAACAGGTTTCAGGGGCGGGGAGGGTGGGTGGCACTGAGGCACAGGTTGGAGGGATTTGCTTTGCAAATGAGGAGGGACTTATGTCTCATTTGAATACATGTAAGGAAGAGACCATAGCTGAAATGTATGCATATTTTTGGAAGAAAGCTGGCACAGAATTGGTAGGTTATATCCAGTAAGCAAGGCCTCCATCTCTGGTTTTGAGGGATGAGAGGGTTTTCCTTTTGGGGAACTGGAAACCCTGTTTTGAGGTCCTGGAGAGGAGCTGATTATTGGAGCCCAGTAGACCTTAGCCCTGGAGGCTAAATTCACACGTGTACCATCACAATTCCTTGCACCGAGCCCTCTGCCCCTTCGTGCATCACTGCAAGGTGGAGAGCTGGATGTTGGCCGTCAGCTAAGCTCACTCATCATCCCCTGCCAACGCCAGGCCGGTGCCCCCGATTCCAACCAGGCAAACGCCGGGGCGCCGTGTATCGTGGATTTCTATGGAGAGTCAAAATCTCAGGTGTTAAGTACCACAGATTTCAACTGCCTCCTGTGGCAGAAGCAGGAAGCTGTAAATCATCTAGGAAGTTGGAAGTGGGCACAGGTGGGCGATGCCATTGGCGTCCACGTCTTAAAGAGACGGCCTGCAGAGGAATGTCTTGTAAATGCTACTGAGCTTCGCAGCACACTTAAGTGTTTTCACAGTTATTCTTGAAATTCCATTTCATTTGATGTCAACGGCAATCCTGTGGAGTACTTTTATGATCTTCATTTTACGTGTGAGGAAACCCGGCCTCAGCGAGGTCAAGCAGGTTTCCCAGCGACACGGCTAGTGGGTTACTGCAGACCTGGGGCCACGACCCCAAAGCCAATTTCTTCCCATCTCTCCCCGACCCTGTGTTCTTGCCATCATCTGACAGCACTCTTGAGACGTCCTTTCTTCATCCTAGTGTCCACGTTGCCCCAACTCTGAGGGAAATCCGAGCTTGCTGGAAATGAGCTGTAGCCTGTCTGGGAGGGTACCTGGGCAGCGGGCGACAGCTGTCAAGGCAGCCTGGCCTGCAACTTTTCCAGGGACACGGGGCAGGAGGCAGGAGGGGACAGGTAAAGGGTGACTGAGGACAGGCGAGTATGAGAGCAGGTGAAGATCAGGATGAAGAATCTGTGTCCAAGCACTTGAAGAAACCCAGGGAAGTGGGGCCCAAGGTGCTGGAGGGTGCAGGGCACGTCGTACGTGGTGGGACAGCACTGGAATACCCGCATCCTCATTTCCTGCTCATGGACACCCGGGCCGCTTCCAGGGGCAGTTGCCCACGGGCACGGGATTTTCCCGAGCCATCCTGTCCTCCTCTTGCTTGAGCTTGACTGCAGAAGCATGGGCCAGGCAAGCATTTCAGATGGGCAGCCAGTGGCGTGCAGCAAGGAGGCTGCCCTGGGTGCAGTCCGTAAGGGGATGCACCATCTGTGGAGGAGTTAACAGCGATTATAAAACCCCTCACAGTGTTCAGCGATTCCAAACCAGGGCAGTGATGAGAGATACTCCGCCACCACCCCTGAATTCCGCTGCTTCCTTCTGGGGTAGAACCGCTGCTCCAAGCCTGCAGGAAGCAGCCCTGAGGGAGAAATGCACCCGCCAGCCTAGTCCCAGCGCCCCTGCTAACTCCACCCCTCCCCCCATCCCGGAGGTCCCTGCAGCAGCAGCCAACGGGGAAAAAGGGGTTTGTGTGCAAATCCCCACCCAGGGGAGCACCTCCAACAAGAGCTTCGAGGCTTCCAGCACTTTCTATGGCTGCTCCCGGCTCTTGACTGCGGCTCAGACTTCCTCCTCCGGGCTAAGATTCAGGGGCCCTTGCAGCGGGTAGAGTTGCCGTCTCAGTGTCGGGAGGCTCTGTCCTGGACACCTTGTCCAGGTACCTCCTGGGAACTGGTCCTCTCTGTCCTCTCTCCTCCAGGCCACGTGGATTGCTAGCCTGTCAGAGTGGCAAACACACTTACTCCATGACAGCCCCTTCTATCTGGACCTTGACCATCAGAAAATTCTCCCATAGTCTCCAGTGGAAATTCTTTCTCCTCAGTCCTGGCCCTAACCCTCTGGGATCATATGAGCTCGTCTAATCCATCTTCCACGTGCTCAAAAGCAGCTCTCTCATAGCCCCCAGGCTTCTCTTTCCAGGCTAAAGCATCATAGCAGTGGCCCCCGCCGTGCAGGCCCCTGTGTTCCAGAGGCCTCCATGAAGGCGGGGAACAGGGGTTGATTTTTCTGTGCTCCTCCCTGCCGCCCACTGTTTCCCTGTTAACTCAAACCACCCTCCCAGGTGTGAGTTGTTACCATCCTTGTTGTGGGCCGGGAAGCCGAGGTTGCCGGGCCAGTGGAGCACGCTGGTAACCGCTGCACCCGAGGCTGGGTGCGGCCGGCCCTCCCCGCTCCCTGGGATTCCCTGGCGCCTGGAGTCTCAACACTGCCATCCTGTGCCCCTCCGTCCAGGAGGCAGAGCAGTGATGGGGGGCATGGCTGTCTTGCAGAAATCTCCTTCAGGGTGTGGATGTGCGGGGGCAGCCTGGAGATCATCCCCTGCAGCCGAGTGGGCCACGTCTTCCGGAAAAAGCACCCGTATGTTTTCCCAGATGGAAATGCCAACACGTATATAAAGTAAGTGTGCGCTGCAGTGGCCGAGGGCTTTTGTGGTGATGGGTTGCTGCTGCCCTGGGTTCTCTGGTAGGTCGCCCGAGTGTTCTGGATGGACAGGGGCTGTGGGTCCTGCTCGCTGGGCCGCTGCCTGAGCAGGAGAGGTCAGGCCTGCCCGTCCAGCTTCAGGCTGGAAGCCCCAAGGCTGTTCTCCACTGTTGGCTTCCAAGGCTTCGCAAGGCCCCACATGTAGCCTTGGGGGCTTCAAGTCACTGGGCAGCACCATCCTGCAGGGCTCAGGGCCCTGGGTATTTTGGGTTGTTTGGGGTGGGGGAAGGGTGACCGTTTTGCCCCTGAGTTCTAAAGATCCGCTGCTCCCACCTTGAGGCTGGGAAAGGCCCTTGGGAAGATTCGGGAACGGGGAGGCACAAGTAGATACAACCCACCTGACTGCTCCAGGGCCTCGAGGGTGCACAGAAGCTGCCAGGCTGGCGTAGGCCCTGCGGCCCTGGGCTCCTTTCCTGGGACTTGTCATCTCCTGCCTGGGGACAGGACGAAGATCCTGGGGTCTCAGTGACCCAGCGGTGCCCACTTGCGTATTCCTGCTCCCTCCTTCCATATGCCCTTCTGCTTTCCGTGATTTTTTTCTTCAACCTTTCTCCTTTTCTTTAAAAATAATTCCTTACGCCTCTTTCTCCTTTTGTTCTTCTGGTCCTCCAGCTTCGTCTCCCCTTATCTCTTGTCACTTGACAGCTCACTCCCCATTTATTTCCACTTTGCTCTTTTTTTCTCTCATTTGGTCCATTTGGGGGAAGCGCCTCTTTTGGTGTTTTTCTTCCCCTGTGGTGTGTCTGGGTTCTCCCGTCCTCGGTTTCTCCCACGTATGGACAGCTGTGGGTGTGGACAGGTGTGGCAGCGTGATGGGCTTGAACAGGGAGAAAGTTGACCCCATGCTGGGCAGGGCAGGGTAGGGTAGTGAGAACCCAGTCAGCAGGGACAGGAACAAAGGCAGGGCTGCCTGGGCTCTGGGCTTTTACAGGGAAAGGTGATCTGGGGGCGCCCGGCACAGGAAAGCGGTGGGGCTGTGATGGGGAAAGGGGCCAGCCTGGGAGTGAGGGGGCAGAGCCTTGGGCTCCAGAATGTTCCTTGTGTTTGAGACTGGGCCCTGGCCAGCGGGCATCCTGCGTGCCACCAGCGGGTCATTGGAGGGGAGGGAAATGTGGGACAGTGTCTCATCGGCAGCTTCCAGTTTGCCGGCGGTTAGGCCAGTGAAGGGAGGCGGCAAGGCTCTGTTAGCTGCCTTCTGAGCACCAAGAGCTGGGCTGCGTGTGCATGACTCCTTCCAGGTTCACGGTCTGGAAGGGCGTGCCACGCTCCGCTGTTGAATGCCTCTGTTCCACACAGAAGCAGAAATCTGGAGGGGCGTGGCCTTTCTGGTGAGACTCCGAGTCCACGCGCTCGGGCCTTGGCAGGTGCTGCTTCAGCCCTGCTTCTGGCTTCTGATTGTTTTCCCACATCCTCTCTTCCTGGTACCCCTGCCTCCTGGACAGCTGAGCAATGACATCCTCCGTGTCGGTCTCTGTCTCTTTTTCTGTGACCTTGGATGTCAAACTCAGAGCGAATAGCTGATTTTTTAAAAACTTCAGAGTCCTGGCAAACGTTTGACCGAGATGGCGTGATTGCTTAATTCTTTACACCTGCACCAAGCTAATCACGTGGCCTGTGGGAACCCGTGCATGACTGGCTGTCCGCTTGGAGAGCTGGGCCCTGGGCTGAAGGGGAGAGCTCTGGAGCAGGTGCCCGCGGACGGCCAGAGGTGAGATGGTCGGCACTTGCTCCTCTTGTACTGGCATCAAAGGGACGTACCAGATTCTCCTGGCTCTTTTCTCCCCGATTTTTTTCTCTTTTGAGGGCGACAGAAGTTCAGTTTCTGGTGTAATTTCTCTGGCCTGTGCCTTTTGGGAAAAGAGTATGTAGTGACTACTAAAATCCTGTGTCTTGGGGTAGAGGTCCCTTTGGAGGTCGGTGGTAGTGGCTGGGCTCAGCACTGTGGGGAGAGTAATGTTACTGGACCACGGGGGGCCCCACGGGGGTGACGCTGCCAGCTTGCCGCTTGCGTATATTTTACCTGGACACGTCCCAGGTCCTCTCTGACCCTCCCCGACACCCCCTGTCTCCTCAGGAACACCAAGCGGACAGCTGAAGTGTGGATGGATGAATACAAGCAGTACTATTACGCTTCCCGGCCATTCGCCCTGGAGAGACCCTTTGGAAAGTAAGTGTCCCTCCTGGTTTATTTGTGCAAAGGGCCAAGAGCCCCAACTCACAGGCCTGAGGAGAGCGGGTCCCAGCAGGCCTGTGTGCTCAGCTGGTCTCCCGAGCCTCCAGGGCCCAGGCTGGGTCTCTTCTCCCTTCGTGCGCCTTCTTACTCCTGCCCAGTTCTGGCTGCAGGGCCTCGGACAGCTCTTGTGGGATGACCACCGGGCAACCTGGGCCATCTACTCAGTGGGCAGAGCTGTGCCTTGTGCAGTGGACTGGTGTTTCCAGCTTTTTATAGAAAGGTGGGGTGCTGGGCTAAGCAGCCCTGGTCCCTCCAGGTCGGAGTTCCTTCCTTCTGGTCCTCAGCTGCCCAAGCCTAAATCTTCTGCCTTCCTAGGAGGAACGGTACCATGCGATCTCCTCTAGAGCCGGGCTCCAGCTTCGTGGGGGTCGAAGAGAGAGAAATTAAGGGCCAGATACCATTACATGAGATATCCCATTAGTCCTCTGCAAACTGAGAAATGGGTATAATTACCCCTGTTTTACAGATGAGGAGACTGGGTCCCCTGCAGGTTCAGGGACTTGCCCTGGATCACACCATTACAGGAGGGGGAGAGGAGGCTCAGGTCACACCTGTCAGATTCCAAAACTCTGTGATGTTGCATTCCCCAGCCCAGGGTTGATTTGAGTAGAGAAAAATGGCAACTTCATTGCTGTTATCATTCGTCTTTTGCGGGGGGCAGCCGGTGGCTTTTGTCATCTAATGTCCCTCAGTCATTCTAAGGCTGTCGACAGATGGGATTTTTGCAGCCTACTCTCCATAGGTCGAGCCCATCACTGCCCGGGAGGATTAAATCAGAGGCTGCTAAAGTGATTTGTATTTCTGAAACCATAAACCCACACTGTTCTCCACTTTTCCTACTCAGAGCCTCCCACGGCGTTTATTCTGAGTCCTCAGCCAACTTCCGGTCTTTTGGCCATGTGGGTCCACCCCTCCTTTCTTCATTGCCCTCCCTCTCCAACTTGGGTTCCACCTTCTTGCTTAAAGAGAATGCTTAAAAGATGTTGTCCTCAGATCTCTTGCTCTGTTGGGCATCTATCAACCCTCCCTGGTGAAGTTCTCTTAACCCTGGATGAACCCGACTTTGTACCGTTTCCTCCCCGGTTCGTAGGCTGCTGAACAGTTCTGGGACTATCAGGCGGTGCTGCTAGCACTCCGTGGCCATCAGGCCCAGGGAGGCCCTTGGTGGACCTCTTGAGCCTGCCACCTTGCCTGGCCAGCATTCTCCCTCAATCTCCATTTGTACCTTTTCCACTACTCCCCAGCTCCTGAGTCCACCCCACTCCTTTCACTCACAGAAGATGACACCTCTGTTTTGTAGATGAAATAGCACCAACTTCCCAAGACAGACGAACCTGTATCTGCACCATCCTTCTGTCTCTTTCATCTTGAAGGATAAGGTGTGCCTCCTGTTCTCCGGACACCCTCTTCCCCGCTGCATTCATTCATAAATCATCATTAATCGAGGTCCCACCGCCTGGATTCATCTCCTCCTGCCTGTCGGCTTCTCACACTTTAATGTGCACACAGATCTCCCGGGGATCTTGTTAAAGTGTGGATTTTGGTTCGGTTGGTCTGCAGTTCTGTAAGCCCCAGGTGGTGCCGTGCTGCTGGTCTGAGGACCTCAACTGAAGGAGCGAGGTTTCAGGGTGATGGTTGCCAAACTGTCTGTACATCGCAGTCACCTGGGGAGCTTCAAAAACTCTGCTGCCTCTACTCCACCCCCAGAGAGTGGATTTCCCCTGGGCTGTGGCCTGGGCTGTAGAATTTGTAAAAGAACCATCCCCCCACCATCAGGTGATTCTAATGCACAGACAGTGTGGGAGCCCCCCGTTCTAGGGGACTTTGCCCTCTGTGTGCCTTCACTCTCCCTGATCACCCATCTCTCTTCTCTATTACATGGTCCCCATTGGCATTTAAATTTGTTCAGTATCTTACATAGTTTTTAAAAACAAAAAAGGAAAAGAAGGAAAGAAAACTATAAGAACTCTCCCTCAGGGGCTTCCCTGGTGGCGCAGTGGTTGAGAGTCCGCCTGCCGATGCAGGGGACACGGGTTCGTGCCCCGGTCCGGGAAGGCCCCACATGCCGCGTCTGACTGGTGTGAGGTAATACATCATTGCAGTTCTGATTTGCATTTCTCTAATGATTGGTGATGTTGAGCATCCTTTCACGTGTTTGCTGGCAATCTGTATATCCTCTTTGGAGAAATGTCTGTTTAGGTCTTCTGACCAATTTTGGGTTGGGTTGTTTGTTTTTTTGATATTAAGCTGCATGAGCTGCTTGTATATTTTGGAGATTAATCCTTTGTCAGTTGCTTCATTCTCAAATATTTTCTCCCATTCTGAGGGTTGTCTTTTGGTCTTGTTTATGGTTTCCTTTGCTGTGCAAAAGCTTT